TAAACCATGCACCATAGAGGTAAGGATGGAAATATGTCAGACTCTTTACTGTAGCAAGGAGTTTCCTCTGTGTAACACAATAGTTCTTCTCTTGTCTACTGAGGACCCTACTGAAGTAAGCCACCACATGTTCGTTTTCGCCCACTTTCTGAGACAACACTCTTCCAATTCCGACATTACTAGCATCACAATCCAGTATGTACAGCAGTGAGGGATCTGGAAGCTTTAAAAGCGGAGCTGAGACCAATTTTTCTTTCAATGTCTTGAAAGCATACTTGCAAGAAACTGTTCTTTCGAACTTTTGGCCTTTTGTTTTGGCCAAATCATGTAGTGGAGCAGCTATAGGTGCAAAGTCCTTCACAAATGTAGTGGAGCAGCTATCGTTGCAAAGTCCTTCACAAATTTGCGGTAGTAAGTACAGAGTCCCAAGAAACTTCTTAGCATGACTGGCCAACACCAGACAATGTGGGAGAACGCAGATAGACCCAAGACAGCATTTAGTTATGGCCAAGGTCTCTGGCAATACCGAGTGATGCCATTCGGGCTCACTAATGCTCCAGCAACATTTGAGAGGCTGATGGAACGAGTATTGGAAGGCATACAATGGAGGATAGCTCTAGTGTACCTGGACGATGTCATCGTATTTGCAACAACTTTTGACAAGGAAATGTCCCAGCTGGAGGAAGTATTCAAGCGTTTGAAAGCAGCAAACCTCAAACTCCATCCCAAGAAATGTCATTTGTTCCAGAAAGAGGTGCTTTACTTAGGCCACATTGTTAGTGAGAATGATGTACAAACTGATCCTGATAAGGTGAAAGCAGTGTAAATAGAGAAGGTCATGGATGGTCTAATCAAGGAAGGGATAGTTGAAAAATCAGATAGTCCCTGGTAAGCTCCTGTCGTATTAGTCCAGAAGAAGGATGGGACCCAATGTTGCTGTGTGGACTTCAGGGCTCTTAACAGCATAACCGAAAAAGACTCATACCCACTGCCAAGAATTGATGATACTCTTGATGCCCTAAGTGGAGCCAGGTGGTTTTCAACTCTGGACTTAAAGTCAGGTTTCCATCAAGTAAAAATGGCTGCTTGTCGCTTTGCTGGAGCTATTTTCCTTGGAGGGATCTTTAT